CTCCTTTCTGAAGCCTTTAGACTCCTTGAGATTGGTAGTTGTGTGTGTGTGTGGTCCTAGTGTGCTTTATGGTTTTCTTTGTAGCATTTATATTTTTGTAATTATTTCTGTATTTTTCTTCTTACTAGACTTATTAGGCTCAGAAGGCTGGATCTTGACTTCATTTTTGTATTCTTAGCATAGTCCTGTGTTTGGCATGTACCAAGTGTTCAATAAAACAATTTTTAAAAAAACATAGAGTCTCGATAATGTAGTTCAAACTGGCCTTGAACTCACTGTGTAGCCCAGGCTGGCCTCAAACTCGCAGTGATCCTCCTGCGGTTACACATGTGCTCCATCACGCCAGGCTCTTGGTAAATGTTCTTGAAAGACTGATTAGTAACATAGTGGAGAAATGATGCCATTGGAGGGAAAAAGTTGTCCTTGAGGGTTAGGTGAAATTTGGAGAACTAAGAAAGGGGCATTGCTGGTAAGAGAACACCAGCAAAGGGATGGGGAGAGAAGAAGGAACACAGTATGTGTAGTGAATATGAAGAGCTTGTCTGTTTAGAGCACGTTTGTTTATTACTACATTCCCCATATATTTACTGTGTATCTAGTTTATAAAAGGCACTGGTTTAGGCTGTATAAGCCACAGATTTAAAAAACCTAAATAAACATATTTTAAAAGTTTCGTTCTTTGGGAAAGTAGTTGGAAGTAAGAGTAAGAAGGTAAATAGGGGGAGAATTTTAAAGAGTACTAAGTGTTGGGCTTGATATGGGTGATAGGAGGTGGTACCAGTAGCAAGTGAATGGTCTACTGGAAGCTGCTGTTCCCCTGATATTTGGAGGGAGATATTGAATATGTTTTGGTGAAGAGAATTATAGAAAATATGAGTCCTGAGAGGATGAAGTTACATTGGAGCTGAGATCTATAAATCAGCTAATAATTGGCCATATGGGCCAGCAAGGGAAAGATGTTTAAGACAGAAATTTAGAGAACTACAAACACCTGTAGAAAAAAGTTGGAGGGAATAAAGGAAAATGGGGCTGGGCAAGTGAACATGGATTAGTGATAGAAATCCATGAACGTGGGCCGGGGATTTAATGCTTAGTGGTTCCACTGCCTGCCACAGGGTCCTGAGTTTGATCCCTGGTACCAAAAAAGCGCCCCAAAAACGAAATACATGAACATGTCAAAGTGAACATTTCATACTGAAAAAATAGACTCAGAGCCGTAGTTTATTACTACACAATCATAATGGTTGATATTTGGGCATGCAGATAATAAGGGACTAGTGAAGAATTGAAGAAGGGGTTGACATTTTAATTCCATTTTGGATCACAACAGTATTGCAGTAGATGGATTCAAAAGAAGGGAAGATTAGATGCAAAGAGGCAAATTCTAAGGCTATTACAACAATGTAGATAAATGGTAATAAGGACCTGAACAAAGGCAAATGGAGAGAGAGGTTTCAGATGACTTCAGGATATCTATACCTTTGTGGGTATTGGGGTTGCTTATTGAGCTGTACGCAGTAAGAGAGATAATACTTTGGGAGACATTGTAGGGAAAATGATGAGCTTATTTTGAGACATACTGGGTTGCTTCTCCCAGTTTTTCCTATCTCATTTAATGGCTATTCCAGGTGCTCAGACCATTATTTTTGGTTTCATTCATTTTTTTCTCTGATTTTTATTGTAAAGTACACAGCATAAAATTTATCACTAGCCATTTTTAGGTGTTTAAGCCAGTGTTATTAAATACATTGAAACTGTGGTGAAACCAGTACCCATCCATGTCCAGAGTTCATTTTCTCTTATAAAACTGAAACTCCATACCCATTAAACAGTAATTTCTCATTTCTCCCTTCCCACAGCCTCACCAACCACCATTATAATTTTTCTGATTTAACGATTCCTAGTACCTATACAAGGTCATATAATATTTGTCCTTTTGTTGGAATTTGACTTGCTTATTTCACTTAAGCATAAAGTCTTCAGATTCATCCATGTGTTAGCATATTGTAGCACTTATCTTTTTAAGGCTGAATAGTATTCCCATGTATTGGATATACACAGTATCACATTCTCCTTATCCATTCATCTGTCAGTGGACACTTGGGTTGCTTCTATGTTTGCTGTGAATGTAGGTGTACAAATATCTCTTTGAGACCATGACTTTAGTTCTTTGTGGTAGAGATTCAGAAGTGGAATTGCTGGACCATGTGGTAATTCTATTTTTAACTTTTTAAGGAACTGCCATACTGTTTCCTACAGCACACTCACCATTTTACATTCCCACAAATGCATATGGTATCCAATTTCTTCATATCCTTGTCAACCCTTGGTAGATACATATCTGAATGTTATATATAATATATATTATCTATCTATATTTATATTTTACTATTTTTAATAGTAGTCATCCTGACTGCTGTAAGGTAGCATTTATGTCATTGTAGTTTGATTTGTAGTTTTCTTTATTTTTTTTGGTACAGGGGATGGAATTCATGACCTTATGCTTGCAAGGCAGGCATGGTGCCACTGAGCTACATCCCCAGCCCTGATTTGTAGTTTTCTAAAGGTTAATGATGTTGAGCATCTTTTTATGTGCTTATTGGCCATTTGGATATCTTCTGCAGGAATATCTGCTCAAGTCCTTTGCTCATTTTTGAAATGGTTTTGTTGTTGCTGTTGAGTTTTAGTCTTTTTTTTTTTTTTTGGTACTGGGGATCGAACTCGGGTCCTTGCGCTTGCGCAGCAGTCAATGAAACCACTGAGCTAAATCCCCGGCAAGTTTTAAAAAATATATTTGGATATTAAATCTCATATCAGATATATGATTTTCAAAAAATTCTGTTCTGTGGGTTGCCTTTTTCCTCTGTTGACAGTGACTTACAAAAATTTAAAATTTTTATGAAACACAATTTGTTTTATTTTTTCTTTTGTTCCCTGTGCCTTTAGTGTCATATGCAAGAAGTCATTATTAAGTCCAGAGTTGTAAAGCTTTTGCCTTATATTTTCTTCTCAGTGCTTTATTATTTTAGGTGTTATATTTAGGCCTTCGATTCATTTTGAGTTAGTTTTTATATGTGATGTCAAGTAATGATCCAGCTTCCTTCCTTTGCATGTGGACAGCCAGTTTTCCCAGCACCATTTGTTGAAAAGACTGTATTTTCCATTGGATGGTCTTGACACCCTTGTCAGAATAATTTTTTATTTATTTTTTGAGAGTTTATCTGTAGGTACTCTATGCTGTGCCGATGTTCTGTAATCTGTCTTTATGCCTGCTCCATACCGTTTTGATTACTATGTGTTGCGTGTTGTGGTTATAGTAAGTTTTGAAATCAGAAAGTGTGAGTCCTTTTGCTTTGTTATTTTTCAAGATTGTTTTAGTTCTTTGAGATTCCATATGCATTTTGTGGAGTTTTGTTTCTGCAAGAAATGTCATTGGGCCGGGCGTGGTGGTGCACACCTGTAATCCTAGCACGTGAGAGGCTGAGACAGGAGGGTTGCCACAAGTTCAAGCCAGCCTAAACTACATAGTGATACCCTATCTCCAAAAAAAAAAAAAAAAAAAGTCATCAGGGTTTTGATGGGGATTATTCTGTGCAACAGTGACATTTTAATAATAGCAGGTCTTCTAGTTCCTGAACATGGAATGTGATTCCATTTGCTTGTGTCTTTAATTTTTTTTAGCAATGTTTGATAGTTTTTATTGCACAAGTCTTTTACTTTTTTGGTTAATTTCTATTTTATTCTTTTTTTTTTTTTTTTGGTACTGGAGATCGAACTCAGGACCTTGTGCTTGCGAGGCAGGCGTGGTGCCATTGAGCTAAATCCCCAGCCCATCTTTCAGCTTTTTAATGTAGAAGTCTACTGTTTTCTGGCCTCCAAAGCTTCTGATTTGATATCTGCTAGCAGTCCTATTGAGGATCCCTTGTATGTGACAAAGTGTTTCTTGCTGCTTCAAGATTCTGTTTTTGGGGGGGTGGGGGTGGGGTTGGGGGGGGTGGGGACAAGGTCTCTAAATAGTTCAGGCTGGTTTTGAACTCAAGGTGATTCTTCTATGTCAGCCTCAGAGTGCTGGGATTACAGGTGTGCACCGCCACACCCAGCTGTCTGTGGTTTTTGAAAGCTTTATTATATAATGTGTTTTCAGATGGGTCTCTGAATTCATTTTACTTTGTAGTTTATTGAATATCTTAGATATTTTTATTTATGTCTTTCATACATTTGGAAAGTTTTTAGCCATTATTTCTTCAAATATTCCTTTTGCCCCTTTCTTCTACTCTGGGTCTGTCGCAGTTCACATGCTGATCCACTTGATAATGCCCTACAGGTTCCCTGAACTCTGGTCATTTTTCTCTTTGTTTCTGTTCCTCATACTCAGTAACTTTCATTGTTCTATCTTCAAGTCCACTGACGCTTGTGCCTGCTGAGATCTTCCCTTGAATCCGTCTAGTGAATTTGTCATTTCAGTTATACTTTCTTGGGTCCATGATTTCTTTTTGTTTTCATTTTTCCTGTCTCTTTGTTGGTATATCCATTTTGTTCATACATCATTTTCTTGGGTTTCTTCACATCGTTTTTTTCCCCCCCATTACTGAGGATCAAACTCAGGATCTTGCACTTTCGAGGCAGGTGCAGTGCCACTGAGCCTTCACATTTTTTTATATATATATATACACACACACACACACACATATACATATATATATACACACACATATACATATATGTGTGTGTATATATGTATATATGTGTGTGTGTATATGTGTGTATATATGTATATATGTGTGTATATATATATATATATATATATATTTTTTTTTTTTTTTGGTACCAGGGATCGAACTCGGGTCCTTGAGCTTGCGCAGCAGGCTGCGAAACCACTGAGCTAAATCCCTGGCCCCTATATATATATATTTTAAGGACAGGGTCTTGCCCTGTAGTTCAGGCTGGACTTGAAATCACTATGTAGCCTAGGCTGGCCTTGAACTCACAGCAGTCCTGCTGTCTCAGCCTTCTGAATGCTGGGATCACAGGCATGCACTACCATGCCTGGCTTAGTATTTATTTATAGCTATCTAATTTCACAAAGAAGTAGAAGTGAAATAGTGTCTAGTAGACAAATGGGAGTCCATGAGAATGGTTTAGACTGGAAGAGAGATTTCAGCCAAGGCCTAGGAGTAGATGTCATATCTTGCAGAGTCAGAAAAGAACAAGGCATGGGACTTTGAAAACTCATATGTTTAAAGGTTGACCACCAGGTGGGAACCCTGATATATGCTCTGTAGTTTGGAGATCCTTATTGGGTCTTCCTGCAGCTACTCCTCTCCTTGTAGCATTAAGACGTCTTAGAGCCAAGGTGACTAGTCTACCCAGTCTCCTTCTTGGTCAGCCTCCTGACTACTTGGATCCCAGGATTCTCCCCAGGTATCCCTTCACAGGTCTCATCCTGATTCCCTTTGACTGTACCACATGTATGAGCTGCTCTAAGTCAAAAGGAAGGGAAAGGAAGGAGCAGCTCTTTGGAGGCCTGTGACTAGAGTGTGGAGTTGGGGGGTGTGCCCGTCTGCATGCCTTGAGCGTCTGTGGTGGGTAGTGTGGAGCTGGAGGAGGGAGTGAGAAGGGCTGGCTCTAGGTTGCAGGCAGAAAGGCAGCCTTCTGTAGTCTAGCTGAGTTTGAATGTCTGAATTTGACATTCAAAATCACAATGTGACCGTTCAGGTTGTTTTAAAATATGTTTGTCAAGACGGGAGGAGAGAATAACGGCTCAACAGCATTTTGTCTTACAGATTAAAACTATTTAGACATATGGTGTATAGGCTTCCTTTTGTACTCTTGCCCCCAAAACCTTGAAAATTAGGTTTGGGCCTGCAAAAGGGAATTGTAAAGTAGAGAGGGAGGGACAAGTAAATTCAAGGCAGACGTTCAAGCGAGAATGATAAACAGTGTTAAATGCGTCAGAGTCATCAAGTCTTTTGAAGACAAATCCATCCTTTGGACTTGACAATTTAGTAAAAATTTCAGTTGAAGAAGGAAGAGTACCTGAGAAATCAGAAAGTGGAGAAAGTATGAGATTTGACTTTATCTAAAATGGAAGGAATTAGAGCAGTAGCTGGAGGGGTAGTCAGAATTGTGGAAAAGGACTTTTCCACTTTGAAGATGAGAGTCTTAGAAATATTTATATGTTTAGGAAAAGAGCCTGTAAAAGAAGGTTAAGGAAAAGGAGGGAATGATCAATCAATGGATCAAGGCCCAAGATTAAGTGTGTAAGTCTAATAGAAGAGTCTTTGAAAGGAGGAAACATATTTGAGAAGGCAGATGTTGTATATTGAAGTTGAATTTAGGGGATGAAGTAGCAATAAGCAATGAGCATATAAGCAATGGTTTATTTGCATGTATCATTAATGTTGGTTTATGGTAGTCTCTTGGGTTAGTTTTCTTTTTTAAACTTGAGTCCATACTCCTAGAGAGCAGAGGTTATACCTGCAACCATTTATTAAAAGCCTGCTGGTTGACTGAAATGTAGCCCATGATATGGGGCATAGGTTATGTATGTTGGGTCTGTCTTTACTTAATAATTGTTTTTTATAACAATTGACTTAACATTGACTTCAAATGTTAAGTGAATGACTTAACATTTGAAGTTTGACAAAAACTTCTGATTCCACAATAACATAGAAATAATTTCTTTACTATGTTCATGAAAATGTATATCATGAAACTTTGGAGAGAATTTCTCTTAATATTTACTATATGAATCATACCTATTTTGGACAAAATGTTTTTTAATAGAATTATATTAATATTCTTTTTTCCCCTTCTCACTAGTAGTTCCAAAGAACTGCTGGTTCAGATTTTAGCTCTTGCCAAGTTGTGAAAATAGTGAAGGATGCTTAAACCACTTAACATTCAAATTGTAAGTAAAGTTTATTTCTACTATTACTGTGTATATTTGGGAAACAGACTTTGGAAATAGTCGTTATCTTACATGATAACAGTGAACTTTAGTGTGATAGGACTGAATTTTTCTTAAATTTTCTTCTTAGGATGCAAAGTATTTCTATTTCATGTTTATAAATGACAAAGGAAACTAATAGTATTAAATCATTCTTAGTGAGATGAAATTTCTATTTTTATTAAAAGTGTTTTGTTTTCTCATAAAATTGATAGAAATTCTTTTAGTTTATTTCTTTATCTGTATGATATTAGTCATCAAACTCAGTAAAAAGACATAAAATTAATGGGATGATTTATTAGAAATATATTTTATTTTCTCTTTAAATATACTTACTTTTTCTACATTTTTTAATTTTGACATTTAAAAAGTCATTAGAGGGCCGGGGATTTAGCTCAGTGGTTTTGCCGCCTGCTGCGCAAGCGCAGGGACCCAAGTTCATCCCCGGTACCAAAAAAAAAAGTCATTAGAAATTTTGGTACTTTTTCTGCATGAAAAATTTAATATCCACAAAATCTAATAAGGAGTAATTTTATTTGAGGAATAATTCTGTTAGGAATAATTAATGCATAAATCCAGATGATGTGACATTTGTCTATATAAGACAAAAAACCTTCAGGGGCTTTGTTAAGAAATTACTTGAAACAGTTTGCTATATTGTGTTTTGAACTACAGTAATAGCAAAATGTTACTGAGGAAAGAATGATAAAACTATCAAAGGCATTCCAAATGGTTTCATTAGTTTATTTTTAAACTATTTTATTTGAAAGTATAAGGAACTGAAATTAACCTTAAAATTCTTGTATTCATTGTGAATATAAAATGAAATTACTTGTCATAAACAAAAGACAGGTTTTCTTAGACAGTTTTAATTATATTATTCAAACGAACAAATGTGCCAGAGAAGAATGGACTATTTAAAAATTAACAAATATTTTAATTTGTTAAATAGGCAGTTTTAGCAATTGTCTTAGCCCAGCATATTTTATGTGTTCTATACATAAAGGATTTTAAAAATTTCTTTTAAAGTATTTCAGGAATAAAATTACATCCTCATAGGGCTGGGGTTTAGCTCAGTGGTTTCGCCGACTGCTGCGCAAGCACGAGGACCCGAGTTTGATCCCCGGTACCAAAAAAAGCAAACAAACAAAAATTACATCCTCATAAAGGGAGAAAGTTGTAACATTTTATCTCCTAGACTGTAAATCTAATAATACCACCTGTATGCAGTATCTTGGTAAGAACTTATTCCATGAGTTCATGAACTTGACTCTTTAAGAAGTAGAGTGCTCATTACTGCCCTCTTTTGACACAGGGATGTAGGAACAGATCTTCTTTTTCATAGTTAATGTTAAAAGTGAGATTGCAAACTAAGTTATGCTTTATGTCTTTCCTGTGTATTTTTTTATAACTTTAAAAATTCTTCCTCTTTTAGGCTCTCTGGTTAATCATCCTTTGAAGACTGGATTTCTGGATATCTACTCTCCATCTCTATTGGCTTTTAAAACATAATTTAAACCTATAGCACTGGCAATCATCTGTGAACTCTATGAACCTTTAATTACATTGATTCATAACGTTTGAAGCTTCCTCAGGGGAAAAAACAATGACATCAGCAGTGGTTGACAGTGGAGGTTCTATTTTGGAGCTTTCCAGCAGTGGAGTAGAAAATCAAGAGGTTAGGCATCCAATGTATTACATTTCTGTTTTGTTCATAGAAATCAATGCATAAACTAATTTTGTAATGAATAGAAAACAGGTATTTGGGAGTAGAAATGTACAGTGCATGAAATTATACATGTAATGTGCCACAGATCCTTACATAATTTAGGGAACAGATTGAGGAAGGAACTGAATTTTTAGAACAGGGGTATATTAGAATGTACTTGTAGGGAGGAAAAGACTGGAAAGAAAGAACACTGTAGTATTAGTTGAGACATAAATTTAAAATCTTGATAAAATCCATTTTCTTGGATTATAGGATGAATAGAAATATACTGTACCTAAATAAGATTCATGTTAGGTTAGAATTTTGTATCTTTGTTCTTTTGTATTCTGTTATATTTAATTAGTGTGGTGATTGTATTTTAATTTATGTACTGATTAACTGTGATCATGATAAATTGGCAAAGATATTTTGAAGTTTTATACATGTAGAATTTTGGATCATTACCAGAATTTGTAATTTTCTTGTTATTGAGAACATTAAAAAATAAGAGACAGGAGGGCCGGGGATTTAGCCCAGTGGTTCCGCCGCCTGCCTTGAAAGCTCAAGGTCCTGAGTTCAATCCCCGGACCAAAAAAAAAAAGAGATAGGAATGGAAAATGGACTTTCACATCCTGGCTTCTATTCCCACCATTACTGAAGACTGACTATTGGAAGGAGTCTAAATGAAAAAGTAACAGTGCTGGCCAGGGATTTAGCTCAGTGGCATCACTCCTGCCTGTCAAGCACAAGGTCCCGAGTTTGATCCCCACTACCAAAAAAAAGTAACAGTGCTGATATAATAATGGATTTGTATTTGGTTAGACATCAATTGGGAAAGTAGACAGATTTCTGTATGGCAAGTTGGTTTTCTCTGTTTTGTATGTCTGCTATTTGTGTTTGGTATCAATATAATGGGATAGTGGTATGCTTGAGAAAAAGTTAGGGCAGTGTTCTAGGGCCTGGATTTTTTCCCCCCATTCTTGGTGTTTGTGCAATTTTCCAAGATCCACATCATCTTTGGGCAAATTCAATGGGAGGGGGATAAACTGATAATCCTTTTGTTTTTGTCAGTGGACTTGCCACCTTAGAAGTATTCCTTTTATACAAATGTAAAACTTAATGGACAAAGTCCATTAAGAGAAGCCAAAGGTGCAGAACATACTTTATTTCCATAGTCAGTTTCTTCCTTGAAGATTGAAGATTAACTTTCTGTATGATCACTTCTAAATGTCATTCACCAAAGAGATCAAGGGTCCAGGGGACTTCCATCCTCTCTTATATCACCCAGACCAAATAACTACTTCTGTCTCCAAGTAACTTTTTTTAAAAAATTTTATTTTATTGGGACATTTTAGGTATACAATATAATGACATTCATCGTTGGAAATTTGCACCTTTACATAATCTCTCTTGGTTCTTATTTTTCCCCCTTCCCCTGCCCTCCCTTCAACCCCTCCATCCCTCCCTATTTACAAAGACTTTGTTTCCATTTTTTCATTTTCTCATATTAATTCCATTCCCTTCTGTCCTTTCCCCTACCCCTCCCACTTCCCCTTCCCCTTCGCTCCTTTTCTTCCTATTTCACATTATCTATTATACCATTTAGTCCTTATTTACATCCAAGTAAATTTTCTTTATTGTATAGATTTGTTATGTTAGCATTAAACCCTATGAGGGCAGCTCCCAAGAACAACAGAATATATTTACCTTGTGTTGATTAAAAAGTATCACTAATTTAGGAAAAAAGAAGATAGTTAATTTCTGGAAGATTCCTTATATTTTTCTTTCTTTACAAGGAACCCCAGATGTTCTGGATCCAGAACTGATTTTCATAGAAGAGAGAATTTGATAAGTGAAGTGTCTTTATCAACTTGTTATTGACTAATTATGTTGTAGTCTTACAGGGTGGGCACATTTTAGGGATGAAGTCAGAAGGCAATACCCTTAGTGGGCTATTTATTTATTTACAGTATTGGAGATTGAACAACCTTTTCTCTGAGCTGTATATCCAGTCTTTTTATATATTTTTTATTTTGAGACAAGCTCTTGCTGAGTCACTAAGCTGTCCACACTAGGCTTGAATTTGCCATCCTTCTGCCACAGCCTCTCAGAGTAGTGGAATTATAGGAGGTGAGGAATGGGAACATAGAGATATCTAGGGGGAAGAAAATTCCAGGAAGAGAGAAGAGCCACTAATACTGGGAATGTATTCTGATTTACAAGAAGAGTTTTGAGGATAATGGTATTTGAAGATAGATGTTTGTCTTATGAACATTTCAGGAATACATTTCCTATATGGATAATATCTGTACTCTGAAATATAGGGTGGTGTGAAAGAAAATGACTTGTCAAGATTTCATAATTGTCTAAAATCAGAACATAAAGGAAGTATTTAAAGTGGTGGACATCTGGAGAGTTATTATGATTTTTGGGCTTTATTTCTTATAGACTTTCTTCCTGATTAAAAAATAATACATTATATTAAATTAGAATTTTTCTATTTCTGAGGCTATCACAGAAAAGTAAACTATACTCTCACTAGAGAATACAGATATAAAAATTATTTTAAAAAGAAATATATTTATTTAAAATTCAGTTATCAAATAAGCTTTAGATAAGAAATTTACTATTAAGTAAACTTAATATAATTTATTATATTACCATAAACAAGATTCTTGATGAAATGGTATTTTTTAATTCACTATCCATTTTTGATGAAAACTCCTAATATAAATATTTCCTTAACATCATTTTACAAACAGCTTATAAATTAACAGCTAGCATCCTGTTCAGTGGTGAAGTACTGGATCATTTCCTTTAAAATTAGGGCCGAGGATTTAGCTCAGTGGTTCTTTTGCCTGCTTCGCAAGCACAAGGTCCTGAGTTCTATCTCCGGTACCAAAAAAAAAATTGGAGAAAATATAAGCGTGGTCACTGATTATAAGACTTCACAAATGCACTTTGTACTTGGGTTGAAGAGATGGAAAGGGTCAGTATTGTGGGAAATGTTAATTTACCCATATGTATTTTATTCCATCTTTATCAAATGATAGAACAAGTTTGGGAAAAATTGATTATATGGACCTAAACATCATAGAGAAGAACACATGCTCTGGAATAGCCAGAACACCATCCCAGTCAAAACAATTCATTAGGTCCTTAAAGATGCAATAAGCCCAAGCCATTCCCTTTGCCTGCAAGTAGACTTCTGGCCATTCCTTTTTACTCACCAGTGGCCTGCCTTGCAACTGGATGACTGTCACCTGCAAATGGGCCATCTGACCTCTTCCTCTGTGGAAGAGGACCACCACCTTTCATCTCCACTTTCCATAGATTGAGAAGTCCTACAGACCTCCACCCCTAAGTCTCCGTAAATATGCCAGCCCTGGGCTATGATGTGTCTGTCATTTGAGGGCCCACACTGTTTCTTTGTGCCTTTAAACTTCTGTCTAATAAGTTCCTTTATGCTTCTTACTGATGTATTCTGAATATTCTTTTTCCACATTATTCTGTGGCTAGGGTGGGTTTTAAGTTCCTTTTCTCTGCTTCAGAAACCTCCCAGGACTGTTGAATGACAGTAATATCTGGCAAACAACTTGTGTACTTTGGGTGGTGAAATTGGCTCTCAGTGGGGATTGTAGAAGACTCCTTGGAACTGGATGAAAAGGCAACAGTACATTAAAAGGATTTGGACAGATGTTGGAGGCTATAAAGTAACGTAAGGAAAAACACTGGTATTTAAGAATTAGCAGGTGCCAGTAGTTAGTTTATGTGAAATAATGTAGGAAATTGCTGGGGATTTAGCTCAGTGGCAAGCGTGCAAGGTCCTGAGTTTGTATACCTGGTAGCCAAAAAAAAAAAAAGAGTAGGAAATAAGTCTGTATTAGTTTCCTGGGGCTGCTGTAACAATGTAGTGTAAATTTGGTGGCTGAAATAACAGAAGTTTATTGTCTCAGAGTTGCGAAGGCCAGCATTTTGAAATCAAGGTGTCATAGTTGGTTCCTTCTGAGAGCTATGAGCAAGAATATCCTCCATGTCTCTTTCCTAGCTTTCCTTGGCTAATAGATGATATTCTTCCTGAGTCTACATCGTTTCCCTTCCACTTTTGTCTGTGTCTGAATTTCCTATTTATTTAGCTGTGCTGGGGATCAAATTCAGAGCCTTACACCTGCTAGGCAAGGGCTTTACCACAGAGCCACACCCTCACCCCCAAATACCCCCCCCCCGTAAGGATAATCCCATATTGGATTAGGGATCAACCTAACTGTTTTATTGTAATTTGACCAACTGCCAAGACCCTACTTCCAAATAAGGACACAATTATAGCTACTAGAGTTTAGGAGTTTAACTCTTTTTAGGGAACACAGTTGAACCAATGACAGGTGAGTGAAGGTAATGTTTCAAAGAATGTGAAAAATATGTTTAGTTTGTTAACTTTTTCTTTTAGACAAATGATGAGTCATTAAAGCTTTTCATGCAAAGTAATACAAATGGTTTTGATTGTAATGTGAAAAGGTACCCTCCAAAGTTGAAAGCAGGCCTGGCACATGCCTCTAGAGTTCAACGCAAGCCTGGACTACACAGCGAGACTCTTTCTCAAAAAAGAAACAAAAAACAAAACAAAATTGAAAGTAAACAGATTTGAAGATTATGAAGTACTTACATTGGGAAAGACACTGTGCTAATCACTTTATGCATATTTAATTTTCAAGGGACTTTGTGAGATGTGAATATTACTATAATTTATATAGTTTATTTTTTAAATGAGAAACAGGTTATAGAAGAATAGAGTAAGGCAAAAAGGGAGAGATGTTGATACTTAGTTCTAAGTAGACTTTTTAAGCTTGAAGTGTTGGCTAAAAATATTTGTCTGGTATGTCGATCATTTATATTTTGGTTCTGGAATTGAGATGGGTTAGAGTGGAGGACCCACCACTTAGTCGTCAACGTAGAGGTGCTATTTGAAACAT